CCTCTCACCGCCGCGCGTCGCCCCAGGCCCGGCGTCGCCTCCGCCGACCCGCGCACCGCCGACCCGCCGCAGCCGATGTCGCTCGCCTCGTCTCCGGCGCTTGGTCCGGCCAGCGGCTCGGGCCGCTGCATCGCGCAGCTCTGGGACACGAGGCACGCGATGCTGCACGCCTTGCGGAGGGACATCGCCGAGGCAGCGGCTCCCCAGCCCCACTTCCACCACCCCCACTTCCACCACCCCCACTTCCACCACCCATCCTCGCCGCGTTGCGCAATCTCCTTTGCCGCGCCCGCGCCCGCGCCCGCAGCCCCTCAGCCGCCGGCGAGCAGCACCGGTGCTGCTGCCGGTGCTGCTGCCGGTGCTGCTGCCGCCCTCCCGAGGACGACACAACTTCCGCTTAGTTCCGACCTGCCGTGACGGAAAAACTCTAGTTCAGCGGTCGGAGGGAGGCGGCACCCCTCCCCTCTCCCTTCCCCTCTCCCTTCCCCTCTTCCTTGCGCACAGCGCGCGCACGCTACCTCGCGAGGCCCCACCCCCCACCTCCCCACCCGCTCCACCCCTCCCCACCCACCCGCCACCTCCCCACCCACTCCACCCCTCCCCACCCACTTTGCGCCTCCGCCCGCCGCGCCGCAGGAGCTGCCGCGCGGCTCTCGCGCCTCGATCTGCGGCGCCTCCCTCTCCGGCGGCGGCGGCCATGTCGCCGTCGCCTTCGAGGACGCCGTGCTCGTGCAGACCGTGCCGCCCCACTCGGAGCAGTTCGGCCTGGCGCACGCTCTCAACGCGTCCGCCCGCACCGCCGAGGCGCTCGCGCCCAAGGAGGCGGCGCTGCTCAGCCGCGCGCCGCTCTGCCCCCCGCCGCACGTCTCGACACTCCTCTCCGACTGCTCCGGCGGCGCCAGCGACGCCCTGTGCGGCGGGCAGGCCCGGCGCGGACCTCAGCCCGTCGGCGAGGCGGAGCTGGCCGGCTGGTGCCGCAGCCTGGAGGCGGGCGAGACGCGCGAGCGGGAAGTGCTCGCGAAGCTGCTCGGCGCCGGCGCCGACGCCGACGCCTTCGAGGGCACCCTGGGCCGTTTCCTGGCCGCGCTTATGGAGGAGGCGGCGGCGAGGGCCGCCGCCGAGGAGGGGGTCGCCAGCGGCAGCGCCAACGGCGTGCTCGCTGCGAGCGAGGCGCCGTCCGGCGAGGCGCCGCGCTCTCCGGGCAGTGGCCTCAAGGCTGGTGGCCGGCGCAAGCGGCGCGGCAAGCGCGCGACGCCCGAGGCGCGGGCCGAGCCCTCCGAGGGGCGAGCTGCGCCTAAGCAGCTCAAGTGCACCGCCGAGGCGCTGAGCAGGAGCGCCGCCGCCGCCGGTCCCGCCGCGGACCGCCACAACGCGGGGGCTCGTGCGGGCGCCTCGGTGGCGGCGGCGCTCGATGGCGAGTCGCAGCTGTCCGCCTCGCGCGCGGGCAGTCACTCGCGAGGCGCGCTCGACGTCTCAGCCGGTGCGGCTCACCCGCCCCCCCCCCTCCCCCTGCGACCGCATCACCCCGGCCTACCCTCGCTGCAGGGTTCGTGGCGGCGGTTTGCAACCGGTGCGTTGAGGCGGGCTCTGCCCGCTGGCTGCGCTTGCTCCGGCCGCTGATTGAGGCGGGCGCGCTCAGCGGCGGGGCGCACGAGTCGCAGCTGCTCGCCGCTCTGTGCGACGCCCGCGAGCTCGAGATGCTCCTTCTGTACGTCCGCCATTCGGCCGACCTCGACGCCGCCGGCTTGCTCGCGCTGCTACGCCTCGCGCTGCACGAGCGGAAGCGAGTCGCGGCGGCGCCGCCCCCAAGGCCGCCGCCCAAAATGGGCGAGAGTTGGGAGGCGAGGCCCCGCTTCGCAGACCCCATCTCCGTGGCCGCCACACGCCACCGACCGGCGGCCGCTGCCGCCCGCAGGCGCTGCTCGACCTCCTCGTCTGTGCGCCGCGCAACGACGTCTTCCTGCTGCAAGCGCTCCGCTGGTTGTCCCTCGAGGACGCGCTGGTTCTGCTCAGTCGGCTGCTCGAGCTCTTCTCGAGCTACGCCGGCGCGTGGCGGCTCGCCGGAGCGTGTGCGTCGGGACCCCCTCTCGATGACGACAGCAGCAGCGTGCGAGGTGGCGGCGGCGGCGGGTGCACGCCCATGCTCGGCCAACTCGTCGGCTGGACGAACGTGCTGCTGGACGCGCACGCCTCTCAGCTGCTGATGCACGCGCCGGCGCACGACGCGCTGCAACAGCTCGGCAAGCTTGCTCGGAGGCACGTGCAGCTCTGCTCGGCGATGAAAGGCCTGAAGGGCTACGTGGGCCAGGCGACGCTCAAGCAGTCCCGCCCGATCCGGCCAATCCCGGACTACTCGCTCGAGCTGCTGGAGATGTAGTGAGCTGTGCGGGGACACTGGCACACTGGTCACTGCGAGCAGTGGCCGGTGCAGTCTCTCCTCCGGGCGATATCGACGGTTTTTGTTGGTGGAAAGCAATTCGACACCGAGGTGTCGCGACCGATCTAGATCCCGAGCGCTCTCGCCACGGCTCTACACACATATCGCCTCCGGCTCGCCGCGGGGGCGCGCTACGTACACGTATCGCCACCGCAGTCCGCACCGCCGTAGAGGCATCAGCTTCGCAAAAAAGACCCGATGCGCGGCGGCCTGCGACGGCCCGGGATGAGCTCCCCACGATGCGACTAAGCGAGATCAATTGACCTACTGGACCTATAGTCCACCCCTATCATGTCTATACTGACTGCAGACGACCACATGCCACACAGCATCACGCACAAGCACAAGACCCGGGATCGCAAAAAAGACCCGCGGTGCTCACACACACCCACGCGCTCGTGCATGCCGAACCAGCTCTAAAAAAATACCACCGGGACCGCCTCGCCAAGGCGCACAATAGTCAGACTGACAGTGTTTTCCAGTTGTGGCATCCTCGGCAGCCAGAAATAAATGGCGACCGGCAGACGGTCACAGAGGGTACGGGGTTGAGAGCATTTTCCAGCGGCCCAGGATGACGCATCTGGAAAATGCTGTCAGTGTGACTATTGTGCGCCTTGGCAAAGCGGTTCCGAAGCTATTTTTTCCGAGCGCGGTGGACTTCATCTTGCCGGTCAACTGCCGGCGGTCGACAACTTGCCGTTCGAGCAGCGTCGG